ATGAAATTAATGTAGAAGTAGCTGAACACAAAGAAAAATGTTGTCTAAGGGGTGGAACATAGTGCAGGGTGGACCATGTTTTAGTGGGAACAAGGCCCTGTGTCTCTCCCCAGCAAGAGAAAAATGTCTTTAATTAGAAAATATAGATGATTTCTGAGTGAATCTGGAGCAAAATGGAAGCAACACTATGTCTATTGGTTTATAAGTGTTAAGATATTTACCTACTTTATGGCACACCATGAACCTATGTGTGTATGATTAGGTAGGTAGATTGGTATAGATGTAGATATAGTGTCTGGACTTGATAATATTAGAAGGGGTTTATGCAAAATTCCAAATTATTGAAAATATATATTAATATGCAGAAATTTTGTATGCCATTTGTATTTCAGGAAATTGGAAATAGACCCACTGCCTGCCTCCAATCCTTAATTCAGTTTGGGTCACAACTTTTGTCTTTCAACTTTGATAAGAACAATATTGGAGTCAAAATTAAAATCTAAATGTTCTGTGATTAAGCTAGATTTTTAAAAAGATTACTTTTATTTTTATATTAATTTATTTTGTGTATGAATTTCCTTCCTGGACATATGTATGTGCACTACACATGTTCCTGGTGCCCGTTAAGACCAGAAGAGGGTGCTGGATTGAGTGGAAGTGGACTTGGAGACATTTGTAAGCTTCTATGTAGATACTAGGAACTGAACCTGCATCTTGTCAAGAGCAGCAGTTACATCTGACTTCAGAGCAGTCTCTGGTCCCTAGATTTGTATTATTTTCAATTCTGTGTATTGCCTATGTGTATGTATGTATATTCCCAAACTGTATTTCTGATATCTGCAGAGAGCGGAAGAGAGTGTCACATTCCTAAGACCTGGAGTTACAGACAACTGTGAGCTGCCATGCTAACAACCAAACAGAGGTCCTCTGACTGAGCATCAAGTGCCCCAAATGCTGAGCCATCCCTCCAGCTTGATTTCATTACGTATTTAAATTAATACAATGGGTTAATTTTTCACATTCTGAGATTCATTATTGTATTAACTAATTAACAACTCATTTCATAAAGAACTGTTTTTTTAGATATTCAGTTTTCTGTACAAGAGACACACTAACTTACCTAAGATCACATCTCTGGAAGCCATGTTCACAAACAGTGTCAATGTCTATGTCAAATATTGATATCCATAATATTAAAAGCTGCATAGTACACTAAACCTTCAGAGTTCATTTTCTATTTATCTACCTTAGACTGAATTAAAATGAAATAAAAATGAAAAGTTTGTTCAACAAATTTCTTGATGATCACCTATTTGAAGGGGAACATCAAGGCTCATAGGTATAATTGAGTCCTAAGTTTATATCAGGAGGGTTTAAGCCCAAACATACCCACTTGTAACTATAAAAAGGAGATATGGCCTAGGCTCATGAGCACCATCTGTATTATAATATTTAACGATGGAGGCATAGTCTTCGATTTCTCCTTAATTTTATCTTATTTAAGAGTAAGTAGTCTGTAAAAAACATTTCTTTCTCAGTTACTTTTGAGGTTATGGCAGCCTATTTTTATTTTCCATAAAAGTTTCTCCCCATGGTCTTGAGTGATTAAATATATATTATATTTTATGTGAAATAGCTGCTGTTAGATATGGTGACTATGTCTCTATCTGATGGCATCAGACATATTCCATGAAATTGTGTAAATTTTTATTATTGAACTTGCTAATTTTGACAATAACTGATTTTGGATATTTTACCAGAATTTCATTTCATAAAAGGAAAACATTTGTTAAAATATGTACAAATTTCATGTCTTGAAATCAAAGCTACAGTAGCCCAAATCATGCACCATAATTACAGACACATACACACCCACTGTGAAAGAACTCTTGCCATTTTGCCTTTTGCTTTTATTATAAGATAAAAACGTGTTCTACGTTTGACTTCAGTGACTCACCTACAAATAAGTTCCCAGTGCTTCCCTTGCTTTTGAGATAGGCTTACCTGCCAGGGTAGAAGCCTCTCGTGGTTTGTGTCTTCATGAGATCCTATTCCTGTTGTCCTCAAAAGCATGTTATGGAGGGCATGGGCCACCGAATACACTGCATTCCATATGGAAAAACTGGGCTCAGAAGTGATCATCACATTTATTTCTTGCTTTGTCTTTAGGGATGTATTCACTGGGCAGGGTTTATGATTTCCACATAGCAGAGGAGGAGGTGAGCAATAAAAATTGTCAATCCAGAATTTATTAAAGTAAAGCTCACCTGGGTACTGGGAGGGTGTAAGTGCCTCTAGAAAGGGCTTGAAGCCAGGGATATCTCTCTTCTTTGAAAATGAGAAGCTACCTTCAAAAAAGTCCTTCAAATAATTTTTTTCATAGAATACAGACTCTAAGTAAACTAAGTGGGACTTTGCCATGATCCACACCTTCCTTATGGCTTTCATGATTTTAGTTTTCATGAAGAAAAATACTAAGTCATCTATATCACCATAGAATACATGCACATTTGCTTGTGTATGTTGGATCAAATTCACCAACCCAACATCAGATGTTAACTGATACTTCCAATTAGCCTGGAGTTTTTCTGTAAAAGCCACACAGATATCTTCTGATACCATCTCTGCTTTCAGGTCAGAGAGGAACTCCTTTCCTTTCAGATCATC